GCACCCGGGCTCCGAACCCAGATTTGCAATACAAAACAACCTCGGGCACGCGCTGCGCGACGTCAGCCCGGTATCTGAGCAAATCACACTTGAACCCGAGGATCTCGCCCCAGACCAGATCCGCCCTTCAATTATATCATATCATAACATACCCTATCTCAGGCCCAAGGCCCAAGGCAAACCTAAACCACCCTAAGGTACGTGCATTATATATATGAGACTATTATTCATGCAAACCCTAACTTTGGCATCGGAGTCCCTTTTGCAGGTACCTCCCCCATCTTGGAGCACCAATACATCAGGCAAAGGAGGCTCACCGATCTTACTTAACGGATCACCTCTACGACCAAATTCCGGTAAGAACACCCGCAGATACCCATTTATGATATCTATTTTCCACCAGTAGCAGATTTTATTCATGGATATTTACGAGTATGAACTTTTTAGCATCCCTACTCATATCTCATAATAAGACATGTCTTATTATGAGATATGAGAGAAGTGAATCACAACCATTAGAATATAGATAAAATTAATTAATGATTAATTTAAAACTCAACTATATATAATGCCCTACATGATTATATTACACCATAACTATCAACATTACCACCACCTACTACCCCCACAATCACCATTGTTGTTATCACTACCACCATCATTGTCGTTATCATGTTGCAGTAGCAAGGGTAATTGTGGCGGCGACAATAATAACGATGACGACGATGATGATATTGTTGGCGATAATATCATCACTACCATTATTATCATTGTTGTTGTCACCACTATTATTATCATCATCTAGATTCAAGTAATTATTTTAATTTATTTATACTAAAAGATATGATTTTTCAAACTACAATTTTGTACATTATTGATGATGGATAACGTATTATTACTAGTATGTCAATCTTAGCATTACACTGATAAAATGTTTATATACTATATATATATATATATATATATATATATATATTCTGCATCTTGTTTTCTGTTTTTTTTTGTAAGTAAATGTTAGTAATTAATACGTATGGTATATTAATCGAATAAAAAGATTTTAATAATTTTTTAACTTCTTATTTTCTTAATAATTTATAATAAATTATAAATAATTAAAAATAATCAAGGTTTACAATATAAAATAATTTTTTTCAATATAAAATATGTTGAAAAGTATTTATGTTATGTAAAATTAAAATAATATAATTTATATATTAAAGTAAATGGTATTCATATTTATATGTATAATGTATTATAATTTTTATTCATATATAATAAACATTTAGCCATTACAATATACAAGTTAAAATATTATTTATTTTCTATTTTTGATAAATTATTTTAAAAAGTTTTATTACTAAAACACCTTTTACACTAAGACTCTCTTAGAAATGTAAATATTACACTTTCATACCTTCTTGTGTTAAAATAAACACTTTTCTTTCTTAACAAATTCAAAATATGTTACATTTTAACAATTTATCTCTTGATTTGTATATTTAATTATTATTTAAAAAAATTTATGCATTTTTCTAAAATTAATTATAATTTAAAATATTTTTAAAGTTATATATCAAAAAAGAAGTAATATATATATATATATATATACAATAAAAACGTATAAAAGTATTAAGATAATATTTATTTATTGTAGTTAATGTAATAACTTTATAAATATTTAAATAAAATTTTGTATTTATTATATAGCATTAATTATATATATTAAAAGTAATATATAAGTATTAATATATTATTTAAATGATGATACTAATAAAATATTTAAATAATATTTTAAAAAATTATTATTTTATGATAAAGTAGTATTTATTATATTTTA